ATATGACAGAAGACAGTTAAACGTATTGAAAAGTTCTTCCCAGAGAAGACAAAATGGAAAAAGGGAGAACTCCTTTTTAAAGGCCTTAAGGCATGTCAGGTGAGGAAAGAACTGGACATACTCTTGTGCACCTGTGGTACATCCTGTAGAAATAATTAGAACACAGTGGTTTAACCCAAGTAGAGCTGCAGTCGAGTCAGTTCTGACTCATGGCGACCCCATGTGCGTTGGAGAAGAACTGTGCTCCATAGGGGTTTTCAAGGGCTGAATTTTCTGAAGCAAATTACCATGCCTTTCTTCTGAGGCACATCTGGGTGGACTCGAATCTCCAGTCAATTGCGTTAACCATTTGCACTACCCAGAGACTCCTGATACAAGACAGACCTCTCTCTAATTACCAGAGCTGTCTCAAACCCTGGACTCCAGGTCAGGGCTGGAGGACAGGCTCCCGAAGATCTTGTAAGAAGGATCCCTGAATTCTGGGAAGGACGAAATGGTTGAATCTCAAAGGGTCCCCCCCAAATCCTAAGACTCTCTGTCATGACCATCCCTCAGATTTTGGATTTCTTACAAATTTTTACATGAAGCTTGGTCTCCTGTTTCATTTGTGTACTATACTAATTTGATCTATGCTTTTTATTATTCTAAATTCAGAATTCAAGAAGTTTCAAAAGAAAAAACCCAAATGTAAAGAAAATCAAGTTTCAAAAATTGTTTTGGAAGGTCCAGAATATGCAGATCCATAGAGACAGGAAGTAGATGAATAGCTCCCTAGGCTTGTAGGGGGAGGGAATGGCGAGTGACCGCTGATGGGTGCCAGATTTTCGTCAGTGAGGAAAATGTTCTAAAATTAGATCCTGGTGACAGTTACACAGCTCTGTAACTATGTTAAAAACCACTGAATCATACACTTTAAACGACAAAATTGATGGTAGGTGAATTATATCTCACTACATCTGTTTAAAAAAGCAAAATGAAACACTCTTTTTGGAAGCTCTCCAAAGGAATTTTCCATGTGTTATGATCATCCTCAAAAGTGCTTACGGATGCTGCCTTTCAGTGCCACGCACGGGCCTTGTACGTCTTCGTTGTTCCTTTCTGACGGTAAGACCGAGTGTTTGTTTTCAGAGAACTCAGAGCCCAACGAGACACTCAATTCACCCGTCCGCGCTCTGAGAGCCAATGTGCTGTATCACCACAGCGGTCAGCTGCAGCCCGGTGACAGCCATTAAGACAAAGTGATGTGCCAAGAACCATGTTGGGTCAAGGGCTGCGTTAAGAGGTCGGGACTTTGAGCCTGCTGTGTCAAACACCCCAGGGCCTGATGATGGTGCCCTGATGCTCTTCAGCCCTGGCTAACAACCTCCCGGGGGTAACACGAACCTCTGCAAGAAGAGGGGAACATGACAAAGCTCGCAGAGAGGGTCTGTGAACACAGCAAATATTCCCTCAGACAGGGAAGGGGATCCAGGATCAGTGCTGAGGAATCTCAGCCCACTCTCCCATAGTCCCCCTTGGTGGAGAGTCACTGAGCAGGACAAGTGCGCTCCTGGAACGAACCACCACACCCCGCCCTCTTCCCAGGAGTCAGAACGCCAAATACCTCTGGCACTGCGCTAGGGCCCTGTGCGGATGGCCAGGTGTATTTTTAGAAATCACAGGAAAGCTCCGTGTAATTCTCACACAGCTCCATCACAGGCGCTTCCACACGCCAGACCCCTGCACGGCCACACAGGGTCCTCGACGAGAGCCACGACCCTCAGAATGCATCTGTGGCCGTGTCCTGAATACACTGACTTTGGGGTATAGTATGGTAATTCTACCCTAGTACACGATGTGGTTCACATACTCAGCAAAGACACCCCAGCACTTTACCCAAGTCAACAGGAAGCACAGCACATGATGGCAATCAAAAATTACAAACCAGTGTGAATGTTTTCTACATAAAAATACCACACACACACACACACACACACACACACAGCCCACATGACTATACACACATGTATACGCGATACATACACATACACACATATACATACACACATACACACCATATACACACATACCCCACACGCACACACCCCACTCATCTGCACAAACACATACACAATACACATGCATACATACACCCCACATGCCTGCACACACACATGCAGTACACACACATACATACATACACACATATACACACATACCCCGAATGCACACCCCCCACATGTCTGCACACACACGTACACAATACACATACATACACACCCCCACACAACTGCACACACGTATATGCCATACACACACACATATACACTCATACACACTACACATACACACATCCCCCGAAGCATCTGCACACACACGTACACACATTTACACACACACACACCCACACCTGATGCATCTGCACACACACACACGCATACACTCCATGCATCTGCACACACACACATACAAACACACACATATGTACACACCTTGACAGCTGAGCTCAACACAGCTAGGCTAAGGAAAAGATCAGACACGGCGCCATCCAAGAACTGGTTAAAAGGCCACCCAGAGGGGTTTACAAGAGAACACGAGGGGCATGGCGTGGTCTTCATTACCCACCTGAAGGCCTGGCTGCTCCCAAAACAGTGGAACCGAGCCTCTGATCTGGACAAAAGACGACACCCCATCATCCATGTAAATCATCTGCACCGGGAGGAAACATAAAGGGAGAGAGATTCTTCAATGAAACCAAGCGTCCACGGCTTTGTAACCGGATGCCGCCGCCCGAGACCCAACACCAGCCAGCACGAAGGGCAGACAATACCTGGCGGCGCCAGCTCCTCTGGCCAGCACGGCGGGGCTGCGCCCTGACCCGAGGCCCAGCCTGCAAACCAACGGGCCTGCTGGCTGCTAGGCCACCTCCCAGGCCTGGTGCCCCAGCTGCCTCCCAGAGCGTGACCAAGTGCCCTGTCCTCAGGGTCAGCTGGAGCTGGTGGGGAGTGCCCTCTTCCCGGGGCACAACCTTGCTGACTTCCCTGGACACCCCACAGTGCCCCCATCGCACATTAGGAACAGAAGCAGGGGTACTCTGGGATTTCAGGAAGAGCTTCCTCTGTCAGCTGCCTCTGAGTCGGCCCTGACTCACGGTGACCCCATGCACAATGGGATGGAGCACTGCCCAGTCTTGCATCATCCCTGTGACCAATTGCAGATCAGATTGTTCTGATCCATAGGGTTTTCATTGGCTGGGTTTTGGATGTAGATCGCCAGGCCTTTCTTCCTAGTCTGTCTCAGTCTGGAAGCTTCACTGAAACTGGGTCAGCATCATAGCAATACCCAAGCCCCCACTGACCCACAGGTGGCAGCTGCTCACGAGGTGCACTGGCCGGGAATTGAACCCAGGTCTCCCGCATGGAAGGTGAGAATTCTACCACTGAGCCACTGCTGCCTGTACGTGACCTTCCTTAGAGCCCTCCATTTTTACCTTGTCCCATAGCTTAGTATAGGGCTGGACGAAGTATGATGAACAGCTATATTCAAGACCGAATGACAAAACTAGTCAATCTTGTACTTGACAACACAAGACTTGACTTGAACTTGCCCTCAGTCCTGGCCCTGTGCCACCGTGCTCTCACACATACCACAACATCAACACACAGCACAGTTTCCAGAAGCTTCCCTGTGGAATGGCACCTGCACAGAAACACAGGATACTTCTATTTTTAAAATACATCTCCTCCTCACCCACATGCACGCTTATTTCAGAGTGGACCGGTTTCTGATGGACCTGCGGGCCTATGGGTGTAGTGCAAGGGAGTTTTAAGAGGACATGAAGTGCAGTCATGAGCATCACAGGCGAAGGCTGGGGCCGTTATCAGATGCTCGGCCTTTATCTGGGTAACTGTACCCCGGTCTGGCAGGGCCAGCCAGCGAGGCCGTGGGTCCTTTCCACTTCTCAGCACCCTGCCGCCTTACCGGGTAGCTTTCCATGCCCGGCAGATGACGCTCAGGTGGCACATGCATTAGTCATTCTGCGGCAGAAGACTTGGAAAGCAGACCTGCAGTTTCACTGGACTACAGGAATTAGGAGCCTGGTCTCTACAGCGTCCGACTGAACGTCTGTCCATTAGTCTCCAAAGGAAAACAGCACCAGAGTGAGGGCTTGCTGCCTGTCTCCAGACACCGACCACCAGCAAGTCTGTTACACTCCATCATTCTACTAAAAAAGCCTCAACAAAAGAGCAGTTTGCATAAATTCCCACAGGCATGCGCACGGGCCCACGCACACCCACACGCACAGTAAGATGAAGTCTATAGACCTAACCAGCAGCCGTGACTCACACAGGCCATAGGACTGAACAAGAAACCAACCCAGCCAGCATTCTCCTAGAAAGCCAACTCTTCGTTCAAGCTAAGAAAAGATGATCGTTCACTCCAACTAATGCTGCTAACTGTGCTACTTCCAACACTCATCAAGTTCCTCTTGAGCTGAAAGTTGTGCTGAGCCAGCTTTGGAGAACAAGTCCCAGACCCCACCCCTGCCTGGGCAAGACGAAAAGATGCCGCCAAGTGTCTCCACCCCCTTCCTCCCGGGTGACAATCCCATCCTATTCTGGGTCCCATCCTATCCCCAAGGCCACCTTCTTTGTTCCCAAGGTGATAGGACATACCCTGACCCTCACACACGAGTGAGGGATTCCCTGTGCTTCCACTCTGAGCGAGAAAAACACAGGTCTAACCTGCCAGGGGTGCGGGGCTTCACTTTGAGACAGAAACCCAACGGAGAGCTTTGGGTCCATGGGAGCTGCGGGGAGGCAGACGGGGCCGTGAAAGGCCAACCGGGTCCAACCTCCGTTCTGCAAACTCCCACCAGCCCCGCAGGGTGACCCTCAGTGTTTGTCTCTCTCAATGGAGTTAGCGCCACCTGGAGCCCAGAGAGGTGACGTTCTGGGAGGAGTGAGTGAGGGTGCGTGACCCTAGGCACCAAGGATTTGCTCACAAATGCAGCTCCTCTCCTCGTTCAGGGCAGCAGTCTGCTCTGTGAGTGTGGACAAGGCCGCCCAGAGAGGAGGGAGAGAAAGATGGCAGGCAGGCTCCGAACACGGGGAAATGGGGTTTAAGCTGTGGGAAGAAGAGGGAACACATGAAGGAACAGACAGGGAGTGGGAGGGAAACCAGGAAGGAGAGCATTTCAAGAGGGAGGGAGCCGCGCCAGTGGGGTGAGGTCAGGGTGGGGCCACTGGACTTGGCCACCAGGAAGCCCCAGGTGACCCTGAGCAGCCCCCTTCATGGAGTGGTGGGAGCAGAGGCCAAAGGGCCATCCAAAGAAGGGGACAAGGCAGGAGTACTTGAGCCTGTACTTTTATCTAAAAGGCATTTTGCTGAGCTACTTCCTGATGAGGTACCTGCAAACCTGTGCTTCCCAAGTCTGCGTTCTTAGGAGGACACACAGGAATCCTAACCTCCTGGCACCAATCAGTGGTCTTATCTTCAGTAGTCAAATAGTTATCTTTTTTTGGGTCAGGGGAGGTGGTTTCTGCAGGATGAGGAGTCACGGCTGTAGAGCAAGCCCACTAGACATGACTCACCAGAGCACTGAAGACTCAAGGCCTCCTGTGGGGGAGTACGAGACGGCCATCTACACACACACTCACACAGGCACTCTCACATACACTCACAAGCATGTACACACACACACACACACACACACACACACACTCACACAAACTCACACACAGCCTGCCATGGGCACGGTGCAGAAAGCTCCTCCCTCATCTGGCTCCTGAGAATTTAATTCATGAGAAGCCCATCTGCCTGCTGAGAGCTCCCCCACACAGCAGGGAGCCAGTCTGCTCCTTTTGGGGTCAGCTGCCTGGGCGTTCATTAGGGACCTCTCCTTCCCAGGGATTGTGGGTGTGGGCTGAAGGGTCTCACTTCCTTACAGAGGCACTCAGGGACCAGCCTAGCCCCCAGGCCCTCAAGACGAGACCCGAGGGCAATCACTATGTGGGGGCAGATCTGCTGAGGTTGCTGAAGCCTCCTAAGCTCACCCTTCCTTCCCCCAAACTCACTACCTGCTACCCTGGGGCGAGGAGTTTTGAAGCCTGCGATGTCTTCACACATAGCTGTAGAGGAGGCAACCCAACACTACCCGAACAAATCAGCCACACTTTGTCTACTGAATCACTGATTTGAGGGACCTTAAGATCTAACACACAATTTGCTATTCCACCATAATCAAAGCCACCAAGGCCACATATTAAGAAGCCACCATCCTGACCCAAGGGGCCCCACATTTATGGTGTTACAAATGTCAGGAAGCAGGACACACTTGGACCTGTGAGGGCGTGACCCAGGATCCCAGTGAAGGGCCTGGTTCCTGTGAGGGTGTGACCCAGGATCCCAGTGGATCACCACAGCCCTGAAAACTTCCCCGAGGCCAATTCAGGTTCCTGCGGGGTGCAGCCCACACCCACTGCTTTCACCAGCTCAGCAGAAGACCTGCGGGCTTGCTTCCCTAGAACACGAGTTTAGTACTGTTACCAGCAGCTGCGGGGAGGAAGGAATGAGGAGTTCAGAGTACCTTTGTCAGCAGGCGGCAGAGCTGCTGAGAGCCCAGGACTCTTGGAGGGGTAGGAGGCAGATCTGCCATGTACCGAGAACATGAGTAAGTATATACTCCACTTAAAGAGCAATTTTTATTCAAAAGAAAAAACAACTTGGCCCAACCCAAGTACCCCTATTGCTATAAAGTGCCTTACACAGAAAACATTCAGTGACCCCAGAAGGAGAGAGCAAGCGGCTCTCTTGTCACAAGGAGAAGCCGTGACAGTTCTTGTTCTTCTGGCAAGAGTTGCTCCTCTCCAGCCATCTCTACTCATCCTGCTTCCTTACACATTTGAGAGAAGAGGGTGCAGCCCCTACGTTAGAAATTACCTGGAGGTGCTTAGAGAAATGGCCAGCCCCCCATCAGGACCTGCCTGGGGCCCCATGAGCATCACTGGGGTGTCCCTTGGCAGGAGCTTTCCAGAGGGAAGTCCTGTCTTATGGACTGAATTGTGTCCCCCAAAATAAGTGTTGATGTCCTAACTGCTGTACCTGAGAATGTGACCCAATCTGGAAATAGGACTTTTTTGTTATCGTAATGAGGTCATGCCAGATCAAGGTGGGTCCTAAACCTAATCACTTTTGAGTGCTGTCATATAAAAAGAGCAGAATAGACACAGAGACACACGGAGGGGGAGACAGACGCTATGTGACAACAGAGGTAGATGAATCCACAAGGCCAGGAATGCCAAGGATTGCCAGGACCTACTAGAAGCTGAAACAGACAAAGACCTCCACTAGACCCACAACGTGCATTGGACTTCTAGCCTCCTGAACTATGAGGAAATAAATTTCTGTTCTCCAAAGCCACCCACTTGTGGTATACATACATTTTTAATGGCAGCACTAGGTAACTAAGCCGCCATGCCGTCACTCTTCTTTATTTCATCGCATGTCTTCTCTCCCACTGTCTTTCCTTCTCTCCATGCATCCCCCCCACCTTAGACCGGCCCTTCCTCTAACACCATGGCCCCTCCTGGTCCTCACCTGGCCTGGAGAGTCTCCCATCTGTCCCAGGCTGACCGGGCGCTGACTGGGCACCACTGGGGACGGAGGAAGCCTCCCTGGAGGACCAGCCCTCGTCTGTCCTGGTCCCGCAGCATGCCGGGAGCAGCACACAGCCAAAATGTGCTGAGGACTTGGGCAGCCCCAGGTCTGCTCCATGGTGTCAATGAGGACATCTTAATGAGCTTTGGGAAGTGATTCCTCCATCGTCCCCGGCGGGACCTTCTCCCTCCCACACCACAGGTCACATCGTCGGGGGCTGTCTGAGTCACATAGAGCATCCTGGCTTGTTCTTCCCACAGTGAGAAACCATGGTTCACCAGAGGCAGCCCAAAGCGAAGCTGACCTCAGACACGCCTGCCCAGCAAATGGGCACTTGGGAGTAAGACCCTTGTCTGAGTTTCTTGGTGCTGCTTAACAGAAGGAGCCCTGGTGGCACAGCAGTTAAGCACTGAGCTGCTAACCAAAAGATCGGTGGCTCAAACCCACCAGTTGCTCCTTGGGAGAAAGATGGGGCAGTCTGCTTCCATACAGATTACAGCCTTGGAAACCCTATGGGGCAGTTCTACCCTGTCTTATAGGGTCACTATGAGTCAAAGGCAACAGGTTTTGTTTTTGGTGGCTGTAACAGAAATACCACAAGTGGGTGCTTTTAATGAGCAGAAATTTATTTTCTCAGTTTAGGAGGCCAGAAGTCTGAATTCCTGGCCCCGGCTCTAGAGAAGCTCTCTCTGCCCGGCTTCTCCAGCCCCGGCGTTCCTCCGTTCCTTGGCAATTGCCACGTGGCACCTGTCTTTCTCCCATTTGTGCTTGCTTCTCTCGGTGTCTAATCTGACCTTTTATATCAAACTTAATCAAAAGTGATTAGGTTTAGGATACACCCTACACTGATAATGGCCTCATTAACGTAACAAAGAAACTCTATTCCCAAATGGGATTACATCGACAAGTACAGGGGTTAGGATTTACAACAGGTATTTTGGGGGACGAAATTCAATCCATAATAACCCTCATGCCCTGTTCCGTGTCGTTGAAAGTGAAATCGCTGAGGGGTTAAATGCACACAGGGCAGGGCGGGGCGGGGGTCTGCAGCGCCTGTGGTCTCTGGGCATGTCTGCTACTCCTGGGAGGAAGGTGCTCTTTCTGGAGACAGCAACAATGCATCAACACACACTGTTGTGATCCAGAGCCCAGGACGATGAAAACAAAACAAAACAAAAAAACTAGGAAGCGCCCAAAGGCTTAGGGGAGCAAGAAATCCCTCCTAATCCTGAGAAGGAAGATGGAAGCAATTTAAACAGCCTCGGCTGGACGTCGGCAGCTGGCGTGCAGCTGGTCCTGTCTCAGACATTTCTCCAAGGCCTCCTGGGAGAGTCAGGAGGCACGAAGACAAGGGCCCTGCCCCAGCCCTAACCAGGAAACTGAAAACATGAGAGAAAACTCAAGTCATGGGACACACAGACACGAGAACCAGAGCGACGGCCCCCAAACCCTGGCCTGCAAAAATGCTCACTCGTCTGTGGAAACTGAGAGAAAAAAAAAGACAATGGAGAGATCAGTCATACAGTTAAAGGCGCTTAAAGCATAGTCCTTTACCACAAGATTATGTCCCCTTACACTGCAGTGTTAAAATCGCTGCTTATGTATAACCAAACTGTCGTGGGATTTGATTCCTTGGTTTGGAGGTTTAGGGTCATAGTTTCATAGGACACCCCAGTTAATTGGCCTAATATCATGTTTAGTGTTTCTGTTCTACCTCTTAGCTCCTTGTGTAGTCCCTAGGGTCTTAAAAGCTTGCAAGAGACCATCCAAGGCACAGCTGGTCTCTATTCACCTGGAGCAACAGAGCTCAAAAGACAGCCAGAAACAGAAGGACATGGAATATGTGGCTAATTGCCTCCATGAACAACCGTCTCCTTTGCCATAAAACCAGAAGAACTGGATGATGCCTGGCTACCATTACTGAACATTTCGATTAAAGATTCTACAGAAGAATCCTTATCTAAAGGGGGAAAATGGAGAACAGAATTTCAAATTCTCATAGAATCTAGAATTTCTGGAGCCATGAAGGTTGGATAAGCCCCTGAAACGATTACCTTGAGATAATCTTTAAACCTTAAACCAAAAATATCCCCAAAGTCTTCTTAAAACCAAACGATAGTTTAGCTTAACTAGTAAAAAATGTCTGCCTTGAGCATTATGCTCTTTTAAGAACTATTTACATGGGATCGAATTGCCAACAGCAACTCAACAGGCTATACAGGAAGCTTAGGGGACAGTGAGTTTATGTTAATGGGGGAGGAACAACTCAGAAAAGGAGGATGTGAATGGTTGCACAACTTGAAGAATATAATCAATGTCACTGAACTGTACATGTAGAAATTGTTGAACTGGTGTATGCTCTGCTGTGTATATTCCCAACAACAAAAAAGTAAAATAAATTTTAAAAAATTGTTTAGGAAAGGATGCTGATCGTGGAATGTGGTTGTTCTTCCAGTGATTTACTTGATAAGAAAAGTAGATGAGACTGAGACCCCCCCCCCATTTTTTTTTTAACTGGTTGAAATCCAAAAATCTGGGGACCCCCAAATGAGAGGACAAAACCAGGTATTTTCTACCCAAGGGCTGGGTGGAGAATGAGGCAAACGCCGAGGTGGCGGAGTCCCTACAGGGCGGCCAGTAACTACCTCTGGAGTGTGGCTCCGTCACCAGGTTAAGGGGCTCTGGCATTTCCATTCATATAAGCACGCTTTGCACCTTGGGCCCCCAGCTCCCAGCACAGCACCCAGCCCATGGCAGGTGATAAATAATAAACCAATATTTGTGGAAGAAATTGAATGGTTGGCCAGCTAAACACCAAACCCCAGGCTAAAACCCGGGATGGAAAAAGTGGTCAGGGCGGTGGGGACCCGATGGCAAAAAGGAGTCATTTCACAGAACAGGAGGGAGTGAGAAAAAAGAAAGCGGCCTGCATTTGGGGTCACGTGCTCTCTCTCTCTGTCGTTTTTAACCAGACATTTCTTTAACAGCTTTGGTCAGTATCCAGGACGGCCCATATCGTGGGGGGAATCACATGCGAGGAACTCCGCCTTCAGCTCACTCGAAGGCCCCCTTCTAACGTCCCTCCCACTGAGTAGCTGCTCCAAGATGCCCTCACTCATCTTTTTTTTTTTTAATTAATTTATTTTTTATTGTGCTGTAAGTGAAAGTTTACAGCTCATGTTAGTTTCTCATACAAAAATTCATACACACATTGTTATGTGACCCTAGTTGCTCTCTCTATAATGTGACAGCACACTCCTCCTAGTTCATTCTGTAAACCTTCATCTAAAGTACAATTAAAAAAAAAAAAAAGATTTACAGCCTTGGAAACCCTATGGGGCAGTTCTACTCTGTCCTATAGGGTTACTACGAGTCAGAATTGACTCGACGGCAGTGGGTTTGGTTTTTTTGGTTTTAGCGTCCTCTCAGGAACTCGTCCCACGGCAGCAGCAGGTGTGATGAGAAAATGCAAAGCCACACCTCCACTAAATCAACAGAGGGTGTGAGAAGTGTGCCACCAGGGACCAATTACCCAATAAGCAAGGTATGCAGGGGCTTCATTGTGCTTACTTACTAATCTGTAGTGCACAACTGCATGTGGTGAAAACCAGGTGAAATTGTGCACCACAGATTAGTGAGTAAGCACAATGAAGCCCGTGCGTACCTTGCTTGCTAGAAGCCATTGCACACTGTGCTTCCTGGTTAATGGGCCCTTGTGTGCCGCCCACAACCGCATTATACCTGTGCCTTCACTGCGGGTCTCCTTCCCTACAACTTAGCCCACCTGCCATTCAGCTCAGGCATTACACAGACTGTAAGTTAGAAAAAAAAAGAAAATTAAGAGAAATTAAGCAGATGGTCATAGTCCACGGGAGCTGAAACCAACTGCTGCCGAAGTCAGCCTTCACAACTCCCAGCTGCTATTCCTTGCATCTTGGCTGACGTTTCAGTTGATTCAGAATAAAAATAAGAATACTTGCTTCTTCTGTCATCCTTCCACGGTACTGATTTACTTATTTCTGTTGTGAAAAGATTTTCCAACCAGAGGGGTCCGTCCGTCAGCTGCTCTCTGAATGACTCCCACCCCTGATGGCCACAGCAAAGACTCCTGATTCCTTTTAGCTAAAAATACCTCAGGTAAACAGCATTCTCCCATCATGAGAAGTGAAGCAAAAAATACCCACCATGCAACCAAAGGACAGATTTTCACGCCCAGCACCAGTTACACGTTCCATTCTCAATTATAGTCAGGAGCCACGATCAGAAACCACCCCAAAAAGCTCCAGAGCCTCTTCTGCCCAAGACAGAATATACTTTTGCTCGTGCTGTGTCCTCGGGAGTGGGGATGGAGAACCTGGGTGGAGGAGGAATTCCGACAAGGTCTCTGGGTGGTGCAAACAGTTGGTGCTCAACTATTAGCTTAAAGTTTGGCGCTTCCAACCCACCTAGTGACACCTCGGAAGAAAGGCCTGGAGATCTCCTTCGGTGAAGATTCCAGCCAACAAAACCGTATGGGGCAGTTCTGCTCTGCAACACACGGGGTCGCCCTGAGTCAGAATTGACAGCAATGGGTTTGTTTTCCTTTTTTTTTTGTTGACTTCTCTGAGGCACCCCTGCCCCCCGGCACCAGGTCCCGGCCACTGACCTGCTCCGTCTCCACGAAGTTGGACACGTGGCCGTCGTCATTGACTCCACGGGTGTGGAAGCGCGCGCCGGCCCGCTCACAGCTGATGCGGGAGATAAGGCAGGCTTTGGCCTGCTTGTGTGAGGCGTACACAGTGCGGATGGCCACCACCCCACAGATGACCTTCAGCAGCCAGTCAGAGCAGCTCACCTGGTGGTGCTTCAGGGGTACGTGCAACAGCTGGTTCCTGCAAAACGGATTTGTGAACATGGCACCCAAAGCACACGTGCAATGCAGTGGGCACCTACTGGGACCCAGCACTTTGGCTGGGGAGGGGGCAAAAGCACAATGTCCCCCCTGCACTCTTCACTGTGGACAGATGGCCTGAGAAGATCCAGGTACTTCACAGAGGCCCAAACAGTAGGACACCGTGACGTGTGCAGGGGCAGGGGGAAGGAACCCTTTCCCAATAAACCAGACGCCATCAAGTCGCCTCCAACTCACAGCAACCCCTCGTGTGTGAGAGTAGAACTGTGCTCCACAGGGTTTTCAATGGCTGACTTTTCAGAAGTAGATTGCCAGGTCTTTCTTCCAAGGCGCCTCTGGGTAGACTCGAACTTCCAACCTTTCAGTTAGCAGCCGAGTGCGTTAACCGTTTACACCACCCGGGGACTGCTCCTTTCCCGATAAGGAACCTTATGACAGGGCTGGAAGCAAAGCTAGGAGTGGGCATGTCAGGGAATTTCAAAGAAGCCTCTGTTTTAACCCTGTGGGCTCCACATTTTTTGATACGCCCCATCAGTAAAAAATGTAATCGCATTTCCAATATATGCATGCTTATTTAAATCACATACCTACACTAAGACGCGAATGTAATGAGAGCATTAGCAAGCAATCCAAAACGAATAAAAAAGGGCAAAGTGCTAGTGTCTCCTCCCCATGCCCAGGGGACTGTCCGGGCTGCTGGGGCACCCTGGTATCCATGGCGACGGTGATGTGACAACAGCCAACATTCACTGAGTGGATCAGGCACCATTCTAGGTGCTTCTGAATGGATGAGCTCACTTCATCCTCGAAATAGCCCTATGGGAAAGATATGGATGCTTACCCCATTCTACAGACAGAAACTGAGGCACAAAGAAGTTGAGTACTAGGCCAAGTTCACGGGGTGGCTCTCTGTGCCCAGCGGCCTGACCCTGGAGTCATGGCCCTTCAGCCTAGCACTGCCAGCCCCTCTCTGCGAAGGGCCTGCAGACGCTCACCTGGTCCTCTCCTCTCCCCTTCCTCGGCCTCCCCACTCCTACTTGAGTTAGTGAGCAGACAAGGGGCCACTCTGAGAAGTGAGGTCTCAGTCGAGGTGCATGGACCCCTGAACCCGCAGAGAGGACACCTCGGCTGCTTCCGCCTCCACACAGCAAGCTGGGGGGACCAAGCCAGGGCCCTGAGCCCGCTCCCAGGGAGGAGGGAACCATCACCTGAGCCCTTCTCTGATGGGGCGTCAAGCAAATCTGCATCACAACGCCCTACCTACCTAAAAAAGGCAACACTACTCCTGCCCTTGAGCCTTCCTCAGAGATCCCGCGTTTTCTTCTTGTTGATGGACAACAGTGCTGGGGGATGCCATCTCACAGGCGGTAACTTCTCTATGCGGTGAGAAGTAGCCATCCCTCCTCTCCGGCTGGTTTCCCCGACTCTGCCTCTGGCTCTAGAAGCATCCCCCCAAGGCCCCCAGCACGACCGCATGTCAGACCCACATCTCAACTCTCCACACCACGGAGCTCATCTGCTGTAGAATGGAGGATCACACAGCATCGCTTTACAAAAACATTCCCTTCTGAATCACTCTCTCAGACTCAGATAAACCAGCTTTAGTAACAAATGTATTAAACCTGCATGTGGCATCAAGGCAAGGCCTCCAGAATACTCCAGAGTCCGCTAACCACACAGCAATGAGAGGGATAACCCTGGAGTAAACCCTGGTTCTTATTAGTCCTACTTGCCAGACCCTTGGTGGGAGGACAGCTCATACCCTAGGATGAAGATACCCGAATCTATACAGGAAAATAGAGTTGTGTGGCTCCTCCCAGGATGTGACTGTGTGGGGAAGTGATTATTGGTGTGATCAGTAAGTGGCCTGGAAAGATAACCATCAGCGAACACTCTGCCTTATCTACCAGTCACCTCAGTGCAGACCTGTCTGACTCCTGACACAGGGCTACCAGGCTCGGATGCTGCCCACAGTCCAGTGGGTTTAGCTCTTCAGCCTGTGAGCCCTCAGCCAGTGGTGACTACTTGGTCGGTTCCGTGGGTTCCACCCTCAGCCCGGGTGCCACGCCCTGCAGTGCGCTCCCTGGTAGCCTGGCACCTCCCCAGCAGCTTCCTCCTTTGCAGCTCAAGCCCAGGCTGAAGTCCACTGCAAAAGGGCCCCGTGGTGACTGTGCCCTCCCCAGGCCCCTCTGCAGCCACCCCACTCGCTTTGCCTTGGGTTTCCGACGCTCCTCAATCCCCAGCCACACCGCTGGCCCAGAAGACCTGAGAAGAGCAGTGACGAAAGGGCTGGGGACTCAGGTACCCAGTGACAACTTACAGAGCTTCCATGCTTCTCGCTCTGTGTGAAACGGTTTCTGACCTCAGCTCACAGATCCTCCGGATGCAGAGCCTCTCCACACCCAGGCAGGGGACCGCTGCTGCGGACCGAGGGAGTCACACAAACAAGACCCCAGAGCTGTCACTCAGAGGGTGGGTGGCAGAGGCAGAAACCAGGCCCAGCCCAGAACTACTGGATCCGAAGCTGCATTTTAACCCCTTCAGCAGATTCGCTTGCACTTTAAAGTTTGAGCACACTAACCAAGCCAAACTAGTTGCCGTCAACCCCGACTCATGGCACTCCCATGTGTGTCAGAGTAGGACTGTGCTCCACAGGGTTTTCAATGGCTGCTTTTTCAGCAGTAGATTGCCAGGCCTTTCTTCCAAGGCACCTCTGGGTAGACTTGAACCTCCAACCTTTCAGTTAGCAGCCAGGTGCAAAAACTCAACCAAACCAGAGCCCCGAGGAGCACTTGGGGAAGGGGGGCACTGGGACACATGAGGAGACATACCCCACCCCCTTTTCCAAACAGAAGCCAGGAATTCACTGTGAGGAATGCGAGGCACAGAGAACATCTATGTGATGATGGAGACCCTCACCAAAAGAAAGCGTTTCCCCACTCGTAGTGGCCGTCACCCTGCTTCTGCGCCCGGACGGTCAGGTCGAAGTGGGACCCATCATTGGGCCACGAGAAGTAGAACACGCCCGAGTTGAGGATCTTCTTCAAGGCTAAGAGACGGTCCTCTTCTTTGGCTTCCTCCTGAAGTGGGTAAAAATCGGTGGCCGTGATTTTGTAGATTTCAGCCTCTGGAATTCTGCCCACAGAGGTGCAGCCTGTCACCAAAACCAGGAAGCTCAAGGAGGTGCCACCTGAAAGGTAAACCAGACAACAGAGCTAAGCATCAGAACTGGCACAGCTGCAGAGAAGCTCGGCAAAGCAAGGCCAGTTGTCGGGAGTCAGTTCTGACTCATGGTGACCCCATGTGCATCAGAGTAGAACTGTGCTCCGCTGGGTTTTCAATGGCTAATTTTTCAGAAGTAGATTGCCAGGCCTTTCTTCCAAGATGCTTCTGGGTGGATTCAAACTTTCAATCTTTTGGTTATTAACTGCACCACCCAGGGACTCCCAAGAAAGCAATACCCAATCTGTTGCAGTTGAGTGGATTCCGACTCATGGTGACCCCACGTGTGTCAGAGCAGAACTGTGCTCCATATGGTTTTCTTGGATATAATTTTTACAGAAGCAAAAACGGCGAGTCTTCACCTTGCTTACTTTGGACGTGTTATCAGGAGGGACCGATTCCTGGAGAAGGACATTGTTATGGATTGAATTGTGTCCCCCAAAAATCTGTGCTGTAAATCCTAACCTCTGTGCCTGTGGTTATAATTCCATCTGGGAGTGGGTTGTCTTTGTTATGTTAATTAGACAGGATCAGTGTACGGTGTCTTGAATCAATCTCTTTTGAGATACAAAGAGATTAAACAAGCAAGCTAGAAGCGGAGATGGGGAAAGACTGATGCCAAGCCACATGGAGGTCTCCAAAGAACCAGGAAACAAGCTGAAGCGACAAGGACCTTCCTCCAGGCCGACAGAGAGACAGCCTTCCCCTAGAGCTGGCACTCTGAACTTGGACTTCTGGCCTCCTAACCGTGAGAAAATAAATATCTATCTGTTAAACCTATCCATGTGTGGTATTTTTGTTATAGCAGCACTAGATAACAAAGACAAACATCATGGCAAAGTACAGGGTCAGCGGAAAAGAGGAAGACCCTCAGTGAAATGGACTGACACAGTGGCTGCAACAATGGGCTCAAACACAGCAATGATTGTGAGGATGGTGCAGGACCGGGCAGTGTTTCATTCTGTAGTACACAGGGTGGCTATAAGTCGACATTGCACACTGTGGGCCCCTCAGGGGTGGGCTCAGTGTGGGGGTTCCACCCTGCACTGCACACCGTGGGCCCCTCAGGGGTGGGCTCAGTGTGGGGG